AAAAAAAAAAAAGAAGAAGAAGATGTACATACATGCACAGGTTGAACATCCCTAATTAAAAAATCCCAAATGCTCCAAAATCTTTTCTCTTTTGAGACAATCTCCCTCAGTCGCCCATCTCAGCTCACTGCAACCTCCACCTCCTGGGTTCAAGCAGTTCTTCTGCCTCACTCAGCCTCCTGAGTAGCTGGGATTGCAGACGTGTGCCACTGTACCTGACTAAAGTTTGTATTTTTGATAGAGATGGGGTTCTTTCATATTGGTCAGGCTAACTCCTGACTTCAGGTAATTCGCTTTCCTTAGCCTCTCAAAGTGCTGGGATTAGATGTGAGCCACCGTGCCTGGCTAGCCCCAAAATCTGAAACTTTCTGCATACTGACATGATTCCCCTCCACAAGTGGAAAATTCCACACATAAGTACTTGACACAAACTTTGTTTCATGCACAAAATTTTTAAAAATATTGTATACAATTACCTTCAGGCTGTGCTTATAAAGAATTTGGTCTTTGGAGTTGGGTACCATCCCTAAGATACCTCATTACGAATAGGCAAATATTCCAAAATCTGAAAAAATCCAAAACACTTCTGATCCCAAGCATTTTGGATAAGGGATACTTAATGTGTGTGTATGTATGTCTGTGTGTGTGTATATGTGTAATATATATATGTAGACATATATACAGAGCTGGGTGTATGCATATTTGTATGAACAGATAACATACATGTTTATTATATATATATATATATGTGAGACTGGCGACTAGATGTATTTGGGTCATATTTGTATTCCAGGGTTGAGCCCATCAAATATGGCTTGAAAGGGCAGATGAATGAAACAATATTAACAATAGTAGTTAAACATTTGCTTGATCCTTAGCAGGCATCCCCAGGCCACGTGAGAGGGCTTTAGATGCAGGATTTTTTTTGAATCCTTGCAGTCACCCATGAGACAGAGATGGCTCTCGCCGCCACTCAGCAGAGAGGAGGAAGCTCTAAGAGCTCTCTCTTGCCTCTGCCACCCAGAAAGGAACCACGGGACTAAAGGGAGAACTCATGTCTGATAGCATCAGAACAATGTACCCATGAGGATAAGGCCTGGGTCTCTTGGTCATAGTTGAGGCCCCAGCAGTGGCCCAGGAGCACAGCACTCAGGAATGAATAGCTGCCATTTATTAAGGGCCCATGGTGTACCAGACACACTGCCCACCAGTTTGGCATAGTAGTCCCTTTCACAGGCCTGCAAGGTGGGTATTGATCATGCCTGCGTTGAAGATGATGCCTCAATAACAGCTAATGTGTTGAGCAGTCCTCTGGTAACCAGTACACTAGCTACTTGTCTGCGTCTCTGCTTCATCAAAACCACACCCCAGACTGGGAGGTGGTTCTTTTTTTTTCCGAGATGGAATCTCACTCTGTCTCCCAGGCTGGAGTACAGTGGTGTGATCTTGGCCCGCTGCAAGCTCCGCCTCCTGGGTTCAAGTGATTCCCCTGCCTCAGCCTCCTGAGTAGCTGGGACTACAGGTGCATGCCAACAAGCCTGGCTAATTTTTTGTATTTTTAGTAAAGATGGGGTTTCACCATGTTAGCCAGGATGGCCTCGATCTTCTCACCTTGTGATCCACCCGCCTCGGGTAGATGAGTACACTCATCCCGCATGAGTACAGTCACATAGCACTCAGGCAGAGCCAGCACTGTAACCCAGTCTCTGACCCTTAACCTCTCCAAGCTTTTCACCTGCACTTTATCCTGCAGAAATGAGGGTCAAAAAGGTGAGGCATATAGCAAGACCCCATCTCTGCAAAAAACAGTTAAAAATCACCCAGGTGTGGTGGCATGCACCTGTGGTCACCGCTATTCAGGAGGCTGAGGCAGGATGAGACAGGAGGATCTCTTGAGCTTGGGAGGGTGGGGCTACAGTGAGCTGTGATTGCACCACTGCACTGGAACCTGAGTGACAGAGTGAGACCTTGTCTCAAAAAACAAGAAAGGTGAAGCAACTTGCCTAAGGCAACACAGCCAGGAGATGAGATCCATCCTACTTAGTCCTTAGAATTTGGAGTCATGGGGCTCTGGGTTAAAATTCTAGTGAACCTGCTTACCTACAATGTGACATGAGCAAGTAACTGTCTCCGTGAGCCCGTCTCCTCTTCCACATGTGAAATGATGTCACATCAACAATCAGCTTTGGCTGTAACACACCTAAAGCATCCATCAGTGGCTTCGACAAGATAGAAGCTTATTTCTTCGTCACAGAAAAGCCGTGAGGTAGCCAGCTCAGCTCGGGGACCTAAGCTGCTGCTTTTTGTGGTTCTCCTATGCACAGCTTCCCTTCCCAGTGTTGTGTCAAGGTCTAAGAAGCTCTAGCCATTATCTCTTCATTCCACCCGGCAGGGAGGACGAAGGGAGGGAAAGGGGGCAAAGGGCTCCTGCCATTCGTTGAGAAAGTTTCTAGGCCGGGTGCGGTGGCTCACACCTGTTATCCCAGCACT